GAGAAGCTCATGATGATGCACGCCAGTCACACTCACACCAAGTCGAGGGTACTCTATATTAGTAATATTATTACATTGTATTGACTTCCTAAAGAGGCTAAAACAGCACCTGGACATGGATGGCTGGTGCCTCTATAAATAAATCATCGATGGTCAGGTCATTGACTTCCTTTGGCCTAGCCTAGATCTAGATCTATAGCCCCCACCCCGCCTACACTGACACCTAGTCTACACCGTTCTTGTAACTTCTAGCACAAATGTCGATCTCAGATCATCCGACTTCCTGAGGCCTATAGTCTTGACACACATATATCATAGATCCTATATCTCTGTCCTCTATACTTCAGTGACACCTAGATCTAGTCTTCTAGACTGTCAAAAGTTTGGCAGGAATTAATTTTGAATTTTGCCCGGGTGGTGGCTGACGGACGGCTGAAGCCTGAAAATTTCCAGAGTTATTACCCTTTGTTCGTAAGTCGTGGTCGCGCAAAAGTGTGTGCTGTCATTTTTATCCGCAATGGTAGTTTTTGTCTTGTTGTTTCAGTTTGTGGTCGAATCAAAGTAGTGGAATATCTTTGGTCCAATGGGAAAGGAAAACTTAATTTAGACGGCCAGTCACGACAAAGCACACAGGGCCTAGGCTTACACACCCTCCCTGTGCGCACCACTGCCCGCTGTGCCACATTCATTCATCCCACCTCGCGCGTGATACATAATCAGGATTAACGGGTAGCGAGGGGGCAAAGGGGAACTCGCTGCCAGTCTCCCTTTCTTCTCGTCACCCCTACTCGCTTTGAGTATTTTTTTCGTCTGTGTGAAGCTTTGCTCTACTACTAGGCTAGATCTATCCTATGTTCATGAGCGCGGCCATGTGCCTCTCTGTGCCTTCCTCTCCGCCCGTGTGAGTGTGTGTCTCCATCACTTGCGTTCTTTGAGCTTCTCTTAATGTTAACCATAATAATGATCTTAACACACTCCACTGCTGCGGCGTAGACTGTGTTCGAACTTCGATGGGTCATCGTGAAAGTATTGACTGTCTTGTAAATGAAGCGTGCCTGAAGCCGAAGTTACCGTGCTTAAAGGCGTGTAATTTATAGCAAAAATTCGGTAAGAGCTGTTTAGCGTGCTTGAGTCCGAAGCGTGCTTTATGCCTGCGTGCTTATAGCCGGCACAGACTGTACTAGTATCAACAATGGGAGATGTTTATTTGCAGCTGCTACATAGTGCCAATGGGAGATGTTTATTTGCAGCTGCTACACAGTGCCAATGGGAGATGTTTATTTGCAGCTGTTGCACAGTGTCAATGGGAGATGTTTATTTGCAGCTGTTGCACAATGCCAATGGGAGATGTTTATTTGCAGCCAGCTCCACTCCACTGAGCCAATCAATGCTGTGACTTGCCAACTGGCACCAGAGGGTGGTTGGCGGGTGCTCTGGTGTGGTGTGTTTCTTTTTTGCTGTCAAACATTTATCGTCCTGATCTCTCCTCTTCTTTTTGTGTTTGTTACTCTCTTGTAACACCTCTAACCTTTGGCACTTATAATATGACCTAATTGTGTTTGTTACTCTCTTGTGACATCTCTAATCTTTGGCACTTCTAGATGACTCATGACCTAATTGCAGGGATGCCAAATGATTTTTTTTTTAAACCCTGAAAAAGAGTGGAGCATCACATCTCACCTACACCGAACCTTGTAAAACTTTCAAATGAGTGGAGCATCACATCTCACCTACACCGAACCTTGTAAAACTTTCAAATGAGCAAACAAAAACAGATTCTCTCTCACCTCTCCACTTTCCTTTGCAATTCCAACAGATGAAAAAACCCGGAAAAAGCGGACATTTGGCATCCCTGTAACTGAGTTGTGAGCGGTGTAAAACTCTTACAACAAAAACGACTGGAACCAATACTTTCAGAAACTTTCTCACATCCCAGTCCCAGTGTTCCCAACCTCAAAGTGGAAACAACAATTAACTCATTATAACCAGCACAGGGCCACCACAGACAAACATATAGACATTGACACAAACACACACACACAGACACTCAATTACCTAACCTGTGTCCATAAACCCCTCAATTACCTAACCTGTGTCCATAAACCCCTCAGTTACCTAACCTGTGTCCATAAACCCCTCAATTACTTACACTGTGTCCATAAACCCTTCAATTACTTACACTGTGTCCATACACCCCTTCATTACCTAACCTGTGTCCATAAACCCCTCAATT